TAGTGGAGCTGTCATTTGCATGACGTCCGTCATAGCGGTGATAAACATTAGTTCAACGTTGTTCGCGTGTAGCGGTGCCCATATTTAATTAATGCAATGAGTGAAAACGAGACTTGGACGAGCGAAAATGATTGTTTTTTTGCATAATGTTAAAAAGTAAAGACGGCCGCTAACAACCGTAAAATGACGGACGTTAGTTAACGGTACCGCTTTTCTAGGAAACCTAAGCTTTAGACCCAATTGAGGACACGAGGCCTATTACAAACTTGATAACAAAACACATACAGATTTTTATGAGATCGTAAATTTGAACTTGATCTCGATACGTGAACGAACTGAAGAATAGTGTATAATAGGTTAACGAACCTTTTCTTTCTAAGGCTTCGACGTCTCGATAATTCACGTCGAAATTTATTTGTACGTGTTTTATTTCGTCAATTCCTTCGGATTGACAAATTTTATACTCATCAGCATGTTTAGACAAACGAACTCCATGTGCTAAGTCTGGAAGTTATACGGAATCATAGGGAAAATTTCTGTTGAAATAAAACTGTATCACTTATTAAGTGAGCCTCGTACCCGTTTGCCCCTTGTTATGTAAAAAATAACAGAGTGTGTGAGACAGGGCCTCGAAGAGCGAGGGAGCCATCTAAGTTAACACACAATGATAAACGTTTTTTTTTAATTTGGTTGATGATGGTGATATTAATTTATCCCTAATGAGAAAGGCAAAGGACTTTAGTCCATACGCCATAATTGGAGAATTTTGGTAGTTTTAAAGGCCAAAGCCCCGTTTCGTTGTTCTTGATCATAAGGCCTAAGCCTATCTATATATATCCTATCTTTTGAATTGGTCGATGTCAAATCCATAAGCACTAATACTAGAATCCAAATAAACATTATTATTATAAATTTACAATTATTTAACATAATTTTAAATTTATCCGACGTTTCACGTGCTTTAAATTTGGATATTTAGTCACCGTGACCACGCACGCTGTAAAGCACGCGAAACGTCGGATAAATTTAAAATTATGTTAAATAATATTATTTCAAGTTTTTTCTTTGATATTATTTCAATCTACCAGACTCAGACCACCGATCTCGTCAGAGATGGGAATGCGCAGTATGCGTTCTGTCCCACTCTAACGTGTAATTGCTGCACATATATTACGTCATCGTGTGTTAGGTGTTTTCGTTACGGAATTTCTTAATTCGGTCGCCGCGCTCAAAGCCCGCGATAAAATCTATGCAATAGCTTAATACTAATAGTAGCAGATAACACTGCAACGTTTCTATAACGACTCGACGAAATGTCCACCGAGTAAATTTTCACCACAATTTTATTGTTTGATTGTTAGTTCTGCATGTTATGTATAGAACTTGTGTTCGCGTCTTTTCGTCTTTTTACTTCTGGAAAACTTATCTATTACGAACTAGTATAACATACATTTATTTACAGACTATGCCAATACGATAATGTCGAGAAAAATAAAATATATAATATTAAACACAATATACACATATATAACGCTTCTGTGAATTCACTCTGCGAACATATATATATATAGGGATCTGTGCAACAGACTGGTTCAGGCCCTTGGTTTCACAAATAACCTAGGCCTTCGCCGTCGCACATATCTCATAGGTATAGAGAAACCCAGTTCTTGAAGTACACTTGAGTTGCCCTCAAGACTTTCAGTACTTTTTTTTTTTATATAACGGGGGGCAAACGGGCAGAAGGCTCACCTGATGTTAAGTGATACCGCCGCCCATGGACACTCTCAATGCCAGAGAGCTCGCGAGTGCGTTGCCGGCCTTTTAAGAATTGTAACGCTCTTTTCTTGAAGGACTCTATTTGGAATTGGTTCGGAAATACTTCAGTGGGCAGCTGGTTCCACATAGTGGTGGTAAACGTAGTAGGCCATCTGTAAGTCCCGCCTGGTTTTCAATTTATTGTGAACCAATCTAATTATCTGCATGTATAATTAGATTTTCCAGCTAATACTAATAACTTAATTATAAATTGTGGCAAATGAAAAATCCCCTGGATCGCTCGTTCAGTGGGCTAAAGACATGATGTTCTATACAAGTTGTATGCATGTCGTTACCCCCTCAACCTTGATATGTCCCTCCTCAGACATCTTGGCTGACAGCGACTTTGTGATTAATGATATGTCTTGTTATAGACGCCTCGGAGATTACTTTTTTTATATCCATCATTTAAGTTAGATATTTAGTTCGATTTTGGTCAATATGGCTTAGTAAAAGACTTAATCTCTAAGCAGAAATACATAATTTAACATTATGAACTAGGCTAATAAAAAATCAGTAGGTATAATACAAATTCTTTAGGTCTTGGCCTCAGATATCTGAATCTGTTTCATGATTATTTTTAAATCTAATAGGCAAGTAGGTGATCAGCCTCCAGTACCTGACACACTTCGACTTTTTGGGTCTAAGACATGTTGGTTTCCTCACGATGTTTTCCTTCACCGTTCGAGCAAAAAATTAATGTAAAAATGTTAAAATGCGCACATGGAAAGAAAAGAAGGATATTTAACATAATGTGTCCAATAATAACTTAGTCTCTATAGCATGAGCTATTCGGGGCATGCTTGCCGTCTGCTGGCACAGGCTTGCTCAGATCGATCTGGTTCTTTCTTCCAAAGACCAGTCCAGTAAATACTCTGCATTTGTTTACACCAATTTATTATTGTATTATCAGGACTATAAAAGAGACTAAGACCCCCGAGTTTGTTTCGACATTTCTTCTCAGGGCAGTCAGTTAGGAAATGTCGACTTCATCTAGTTTAGGATGACATTGTAAAAGTGATGTATATAGTCCTACTTGCAAGAATAAACTATTTCATTTCATTTCATTTCTATTAAGAGGAAGACACTTTTCTTGTGTACTATTTTCTCTTCACTTACCACTGTTTAGCTCTTAACACTAATTTAACTAAATTAATTGTATTTTGTGTCCATTATTTACATATGTAAAAAGTATTTACAAATTCTTAGACTACGTAGTAATAATAATTAAAAATAAAGGCATAAAAATAGCATTTATTTATTTTTCACAATTCCTCGCAATACAGTGAGCAAATGGTGCCAGCGTTACTTTTCATTTATCTTTCTTCTAACTTAAATAACTTATTTTTATTATTACTATGTAATACTGTATATAAAATTATCTGCTCTAGTGTTTAAAAAAGAAACGATAAATAGAAAATTAAAATATATTTAAAAAGTTTGGTCCCTATATTTTTTTTAATAAAAAAAAAATTGGTCAAAAATTTGGCAGTAACTCCTTTTTGTATTGCGATACTTATTCAAGCGAGGAAAGTACCAGCTGCCTATATTTTTCATGGGCATGCAAATGTCATATTAATTTTCATAATGTCATAATAATAAGTTAAGTTATTTGTAATTGTTATCAAAACTTATGGTCTAAATACTCTCCCAATAAAGGCACCTTACAGTTAAAATTTTACCTTTTTATCACCTTCCCCCAGAACTTCTAGGAAGGTGATTAAATAGTTTGATAGCCATGGTCTTTTTTTTGAATCCACGGTCCAAGGTTTAGGTTGGGTTAGGTAAAGAGTGTTAATAATTTAATATAATATGATTAATTGTTAATATATTAAAAAGGATAAATTTGATCCAATATATCTAATACGAGATATTTTCATAAATTATTGAATTTGCTCAATTATTCAAAGAAATAGAATTCATCAAAAGTATTTAAAACAAAATCCCTCGCTCGTGTTTGAAGGATATCCTTAGCCGGCTGATCGCGTACTTCTCTATGAAATTAAAGTGATCAAAACGGATGCAATCTGAGGCATCTGAAGACCTTCATCTGATCTGACCTTGAATGACTTTTCTGTACAGGTGATGGAATTATTTAAATATTTGTATCAAACAATAGAACAACAAAAACTTTTCGGAAGAAACAAAAAGTAGTTCCTAGTTGAGTAACCTTCAATTTTTTTCGCACAGTTAGCCTTGAACAAGTGACATATACTTGGTAATATCATAGTTATATAACAATAACGTAAGACTGTTGGCCTAGTAGCTTCACTGTCTTTCATCTTTGAGGTCCTAGGTTCTAACGCGCTGGATTTTTGAAATTATACTTCGTTTGACGCATTAGGGAAAAATTATGAGAGTAAATTTACACGATGCGCGCGCACACCGTCACAAACGACCGACACCCTGAAGTTAGCTGTAGTCAACGTTTTAGTGTTTTCTGTTGTTAGTGTCGTTTTTTCTACAAACGTAGAATTTTTTATCTTGTTACGCCAAAAAAGTTCAATCAGTACAAAGAATTTGTATGACTCAATACTTGGCGATTAAAAAGAGTGGCGGAAAGTTTCTTGCCGGTTCTTTTTACCCGCACTACGCCCTTGACTTGCGAAGTGGTAGTAAATGTAAATTTACAATTAATTTAACTTCTTTTTGACGTTCATAAGTGTACTTGTTTACCTTTATGAATAAAGATATTTTGAGTTTGAGTTTGAAGTATAACTTCTAACGCGTGTACATAACACTTTTTTTTTTACACAAGGGACTTATTATCGCATTTTAACTATCGCTCGTACGGTGAAGAAAAACATGCCTAGTTTGCTTTTGATCCAGACGTGTCAGGCGCAGAAGGTTGATCACCTACTTGCCTATTACGAAAACAATCACAAAGCTTTTTTTACCGCCATATTTGTTTACAATTCGAGTGCAAAAACCAACCACGAATGTTTACTTGAATGAACGTTACCAAGATTTAAAACCAGTGGCGCTACAACCTTTTTAGGTCTGGGCCTCAGATTTCTATATCTGTTTCATGATCATTTTCATAGGCAAGTAGGTACCAGATCAGCCAAAAGTGGAGCGGCAGCGAGTCGAGGGAAGGGAAGACTAGGGGACACGATCTCGCACTTGTATCCCTTCGTCCCTTCATCCTCTCCACAAGAGAGTGGATGGAGGGATTATAGTAACTTATGATACTTATGATGCAGGGAATCAAGGCCATAGATCATGATCCGCCTTTGAGACCTCTGTATAGGTTTGTTAACTGTCCAGTAAGTCACAATCTCTTTCGCAGGTCAGCAGAAGAGAATTCAATATCAGAAATAAAGGCTGATGTGTTCTCCGAGATACGGTTTCTTCGAGTTCTGCGCCTGTCTCGCAATCGACTGTCTTCTGTTCCTGAGGCTTTGACATACACCACCCGGCTCCAGGCATTGTAAGTAATTGTTTTTAATATGTGGAGGTTTTTGTCTATTTAACAGAGCAAGCTGCATCTATTTTTAATAATGTATGAAAAGATCGGTAAAATCGTTACGCTACGAGGCTGTTCTGTTCCTGGGTTTAAGTCCTGCTCGTACTCTGTCCAATGACGACAAAAGTTCATGGTTGACATCGGGATATCGGTACAGTTACAGAGGAAGAGCACAGGTATGGTCAGCCTCTAATCAGCCCTCAGCCTCATTCCACGGCCCCAGCGTAGTAAGACAAAGGATCTCCCCCTTATAATAGCACACGTAAACTTCTTTCCTTACCTTTACGAAGTTCTTCATGGGGATTTTGGGGTGACTCACTAAAAGTTCGTAGGGATTTAGCTTTGACCAAATACGGTTTAAGCATTATGAATAACGAAACGGAAAGCGCAACCTTGCTGGGAGAGATTAATACTACGGTAATGGATAGCAAAAGGTTTTTTGTTTATTTTATAAAAATAACTTAATGGCATAATAGTTTTATAATTAGTTGAAATAAATTGTCCCATACTTTAATTATTATTTAAAAGAAAACACACCAGATCCTCCGCCCTCTTGTCTGTCAATAGATTTTGAAAGAAAGAAATAAAAAACTGTCTTCTTCTTATAGTGCCTGTATCTCCTTGCGAAGGTCATCATGGCTATTTTAGTTTTGGATGCCGCGCTTCTAAACAATGACTTGGTGCTTTGACCAAACCATTGTCTCAAGCTTTTCAACCAGGACGTGCGTCTGCGGCCAGGTCTCCTTCTACCTGCCACTTTGTATGATTAGTTGAAGGAGCTCATATTTTTTGGAGTTGCGTAAAACGTGTCCGAAATACTCAAGTTTCCTTTTCTTAACCGTCATAAGCACTTCTTTGTTCTTGTGCATTCTGTCCAGCACGGTTGTATTTCGTATGCGGTCTGTCCAAGATATTTTAAGCATACGTCAATAAACCCAGATCTCAAACGCTTCCAGTTTTTTGGACATAGTCTCTGTCAGCGTCCAAGATTCTACGCCGTAGAGCAGCACAGAGAAGACGTAACATCGCGCAATGCGAGTTCTAAGCTGTGAATTTAGGCGCTTGTCACAAAGTACTTTTTTTAGTTTTGAAAAGGCGTTCCGAGCTTGTTCAATTCTGCAGCGGATTTCGATGCTATGGTCACCCTTTTCATCAATCACTGTGCCTAGATATCGTATTTTCGAGACACGTTCCAAGGTCTGATTGTTGAGGTATATATGTTGCGTGAAAAGCTCCGGTGTTCGGCTTATTGTCATATATTTTGACTTTTTCGCATTGATGCTAATATCAACTAAAAAGCTTTACACATAATAAAAAAGGATGTATGGTTAAAAGAGAAAGTGTTGCCCACACCAGCCCTGTGATTCTGTAACTCACTTCTCGAACTCACACAGCGGTTTTCGCATCGGCGGTCGATCTCAAATCAGTCGTGAAGCAGTCATTTTATGATTTGGCATTCTGATAAAGGTGGGAGCTTGTAGTTTATTGTTTATCAGAATGCCAAATCATAAAATGACTGCTCCACGACTGATTTGAGAGCGACCGCCGATGCGAAAACCGCTGTGTGAGTTCGAAAAGTGAGTTACAGAATCGCAAGGCTGGATTCCCTGTGTCGTGGACAGTCTCTTCCATTTGACATATTAATGATTAAAAAAATCCACATAACACTTACAATTATATAATTAAACTATTGTTGCACAAGAATACTTTCCGTTTCAGCATAGGACAGGCTTAGAAGACGTTTAAAATTGTTAGTGAATGTGTAAACTTTTGAATCGATAGTAATAATTTTGTTTTTGAGATAGTGGTTAAAGTAGGGTCTCTGAAAGAGAACAATTATAAGTTTAGCTTAAAGCTTGATTATTAAAAAGTTGAAATTTTTGAAACAGTCGACGTTTCCAGAGCTTTTCACATAAGTTTTTATAGGTTTCAGTATTTTACCGGACAATGTTTTAAACAACTGTTTGTGAGCTTGCAAGTGCCTATATTTTAAATATTATTCTAGTATTTCTACAAGGAGAGATATTTGTATAAATTTGATAACATTGTTTCATGCACCTTAATGTATACGTATATATTATTCTAGATTTTGACATGAATTTTATCTTCCTAAGTTGTAGAACAGGGAACGACCTGGCAGTTCATCTGATGTTAAGTGATGGACACACACTGTTAGACTCGCAAGTGCGTTGCCGGTCTTATAGGAATTAGTAAATTTTTGAAATATTTATATAAATTGTCTCTGCACTAAGACATCAATTAACATGTATCTAGTCTAACTCAAGACTAATAAGTAATTGAAATCCAACCTAATTTCCTAAAAAGGTTTTTTAACTTAAGTCCAATAACAAACTCAAACTCAAAATATCTTTATTCATAAAGGTAAACAAATACACTTACGAACGTCAAAAAAAAGGGCGTAGATCGGGCAAGAAGAACTGGCAAGAAACTTTCCGCCACTCTTTTCAATCGTTAAGTTTTGAGTCATACAAATTGTTTGAACTGGAGCAAATCAATCCCAAGGATTAGGATCATTTAAATATTCGTCAAATGTATAAAAAGCTTTATTGATTGATTTACGTTCAACGAGAGTTTATTTAGTGATAATTCTGTAATTTCGTTTGGGAGTTTGTTGTAAAAACGAATACTTCATATAAAAAGTGGTTTATCTTCTGGAGCCTGGTTGGCCGTACACTCAAATTAGTTCTATTTCGCGTATTATACTGGTGAAAGTAGTCACCATTTGTTTACGCGTAACACTCCTTTTTTTTACGGCTCTGGCACGTATTGTGCATTAGCCAGCGTCAAGTATAAGATTTTTATAATTCTTTTTTTTTTTTTTTTTTTTGTAATAGGAGGCAAACGGGCAGGAGGCTCACCTGATGTTAAGTGATACCGCCGCCCATGGACACTCACAATGCCAGAAGGCTCGCAAGTGCGTTGCCGGCCTTTCAGGAATTGGTACGCTCTTTTCTTGAAGGACCCTAAGTCGAATTGGTTCGGAAATACTTCTGTGGGCAGCTGGTTCCACAAAGTGGTGGTGCGCGACTCTGTTGTGGAACGACGGACGTCGAGGTGATACGGATGGTATTTTGTATTTTGCCTTGACGTCCGATGATGAAACTCAGCTGCAGGTATTAGACCGAACAACTCCTCTGAACACTCTCCATGGTAAATGCGGTAGAAGATGCAGAGAGATCCCACATCTCTACGCAACGCCAAGGGATCAAGCCGCACGGAAAGTGACTGGTCGTCGACGATTCGAACCGCTCTTCGTTGAATACGGTCAAGTGGAAGGAGCTGGTACTGGGGAGCTCCCGCCCAGAGGTGAGAGCAGTACTCCATATGGGGCCGAATTTGCGCTTTATATAGTTGCAAGCGGTGGCCCGGAGTGAAGTACCGTCTCGCCTTGCTGAGCACACCAAGCTTTTTGGAGGCTAATTTAGCCTTTCCTTCCAGATGACCGCGAAACTGAACGTTATTCGATATGTCAACGCCCAGTATTCCGATGCTAGCAGAGGCTTTAAGGAGAGTGTCTTCAAAGAGGGAGTAGCGACAAAGGGAGTTTTTTAGCGGAAAACGCGCATACTTGTGTCTTCTTGGGGTTAAATTGGACTAGATTTAGTCTACCCCAGTCCGAGACTCCACGTAGAAGAGTTTCGACTTCAGACACAAGTTTGTTCCGGTACTCATCGACAACAGCCCGAGAGATACCTGCCCGGCCAGTGTAAAAAGTATCCCCAGTGCTGTCGTCCGCATAGCAATGAATGTTGCTAAGCTGCAACATATCATTGATATGCAGAATAAACAGGGTCGGGGATAGGACACAGCCTTGTGGGACACCAGCATTCACAGGTTTCAGGTCGGAGCATGCTCCGTCGATGACGACTTTGATGCTCCGATCAGCGATCCAAACTTACCGCCAGCGCCTCCCCCTTGGACTCAATTGCCTCTGCCCACCTATGTGTAAGGTATACAAGGAAGTCACCAGCCGAGCGACCACGACGGAAGCCGTACTGAGAATCGCTAATCAGCTGGTGGCCCTCTAGATACCTCAAGAGCTGGCTGTTAATAATGGTTTCCATTATTTTGGAGAACAAGGAGGTTATAGCTATTGGGCGATAGTTGGACGGATCAGAGCGATCGCCTTTTTTAGGGATCGGATGTATCGAAGCGATCTTCCAGCACTTCGGAACAGTGCCGAGCGTGTAAAGGTACCGGAAAAGGCGCGTTAGGACCGGAGCCAACTCAGGAGCACAAGTACGCAGCACAATTGGAGGGATGCCATCAGGCCCGCTCAACTTATGGATGTCCAAGGAAGACAAAGCTTTACGGATAGCACGTTGCCGGAATATAACTTCGGGCATCGTAGTATCACACCGCAATAATGTCGGTGGTTCCTTCCCTCGATCATCCAAAGTGGAGTTCGACGCAAAGAGACAGCCTAGAAGATCGGCCTTCTCTTTCGCGGTGTGGGCAAGTGAGTCATCCTCCCTATGCAGTGGTGGAATTGAGGGCTGACAGAAATTCCCTTGGACAGCTTTGGCAAGAGACCAGAAGGCTCGAGTTCCCGAAGGGAGGTGGGCCAATTTCTCACCAAATCTGGCAATGTGCTCTGACTTTGCTTTAGCGATTTCTCGCTTGAAGGACCTGGAGGCTGAATTGTATGCTTTTTTACGTTCGCCGATAGTCACATCACAGGATGTCACCGCTTCTGCCCAGGCTTTAAAGCATTCACGCTTACGGCGCAAAGCCGCTTTGCAGGAACGCCTAAACCAAGGCTGGGACTTTCCACCGACCGGCACCGCAGAGAATGGAATAAAGAGTTCCATACCCTGCAGGACCACCTCGGCGACAGAGTCAGTGACGGCATCTGGAGTACTCGACGAAAAGCAAATGGGCCCCCAAGGGTAGGACGCAAAAAAGACCGCATCCCATCCCAATCTGCTGACTTATAGTGCCACACGCGGCGACAGCCCGTGAAGCTAGGCCGAAGAGGGCGCGTGAACGGCACAATGCTCCGGACCACACAATGATCTGATGAACCCAATGGCGGTTCAACAGAGACTTGGTAGTTCTCCGGATGTGAAGTCAGCAGAAGGTCCAACAAAGAGGGTTTATGACCATCCACATCTGGTATTCGCGTAATCGCAGGGACCATTTGCGTCAAGTCATAAGCCAAAGCAAAGTCGTGAAAGGATCTTCCCGCATGATCGGTGGTTTCTGAGCCGAGCCAATCGGCATGGTGGGCGTT